TGAGACTTGCCTTACAGACCCTAAGAGAACAGAAACTGTATGCGAAATTGAGTAAATATGAATTTTGGCTTGATCATGTTATGTTTTTGGGACATGTTATTAGTAGAGATGGCATTTCAGTTGACCCATAGAAAGTTGAAGCCGTGGTAAATTGGCCTAGACCAACAAATGTTACAGAAGTTAGAAGCTTTTTGGGGTTAGCCGGGTATTACAGAAGATTTCTCAAAGACTTCTCCAAAATTGCCTTACCACTGACACAGTTGACTCAGAAGGGGATATCATTTGACTGGACTGACCAAAGAGCATCAGTATTCCAAGAGTTGAAAACTCGACTTGTGACTGCACCAGTTGTTACCCTATCTTCAGGTACGGATGGTTTTACCATTTTTAGTGATGCTTTTCATAAGGGTTTGGGATGTGTTTTAATGCAGAATGAGAGAGTTATTGCCTATGCTTCCCGACAACTGAGACCGCATGAAAAGAACTACCCGACCCATGATTTAGAACTTGCTGCAGTAGTGTTTGCACTGAAAATCTGGCGTCACTACCTTTATGGGGCGACATGTGAGGTGTATACAGACCACAAGAGTTTGAAATACTTCTTCACACAGAAAGAACTGAATATGAGGTAGCGGAGATGGTTAAAACTAATAAATGATTATGATCTACAGATTTTGTATCATCCGGGGAAAGCTAACACCGTTGCCGATGCACTGAGTCGGAAATCGATTGGAAACTTAGCCTGTTTACTCACCGGACAGAAAGAGTTGCTTTGTGACCTTCAGAAATCTGAAATTGAGATTGTTTCGCGAGAACAAGGTGGAACAATAGTTACCATTTCTGCTCAACTGGCACTGATTGAAGAAATTAAAGAGAAACAGTAACAGAATGACTTCTTGAGGAAGGTCATCCAAGAACGGGAATCCAAACCGAAGCTGAATTTCAAATTTGAAAGTAATGTGCTGAAATTTCAGGGAAGACTGTGTGTACCGAATGATTCTGAACTTAAAAGGAGAGTTCTGTAAGAGGGTCACAATTCAAAACTGTCTATCCATCCAGGGAATATGAAAATATACCAAGACTTGAGACTGAATTTCTAGTGGCCCGGAATGAAGAAAGAAATTGCTGATTTTGTGTCGAAATGTCTTCATTGCCAACAAGTTAAAGCCGAACATCAACGACCCGCAGGTTTACTGCAACCCTTACTGATACCGGAGTGGAAATGTGAACATATTACCATGGGTTTTATTGTTGGTTTACTTCGCTCCAGTAAAGATATGGACTCAATTTGTGTTATTGTTGATAGACTGACTAAATCTGCTCACTTCTTACCTGTCAAAACAATTTATAATACGGATAAACTGGCTATGCTCTGTATTGATGAAATTGTTAGACTGCATGGAGTGCCTGTGTCCATTGTTTCTGATAGGGACTCGAAGTTTACATCGAGATTTTGGCAAAGTCTGCAAACTACATTGGGTACTGAACTGAGACTGAGTAGTGCCTACCATTCTCAGACAGATGGTCAGTCAGAAAAGACCATCCAGACTCTGGAGGATTTGTTGAGAATGTGTGTCCTTGACTTTCAGGGAAATTAGGAAAGTCATTTACCGTTGGCTGAATTCGCCTACAATAACAGCTTTCACTCAAGCATTGATATGGCGCTTTTCGAGGCATTGTATGGCAGAAAATGTCGATCTCCGATTTGATGGGCAGAAGTTGGAGATGGGCCTTTGCTTAGGCCCGAGGTTGTGTATGAAACTACAGAAAAAGTGAAACTGATATAACAGAGACTGAAAACCGCACAGAGCAGACAGAAAAGTTATCCAGATGTCCGAAGGTGAGACAGAGAATATGAAGTAGGTGATCACGTTTTTGTAAAAGTGACACCGATGAAGGGCCAGACTCATTTTGGAGTTAAAAGCAAGTTAGCGTCGCGATATGTCGGACCGTATGAGATTATTGAGAAAATCAATCCGGTGGCATATCAAGTAGTGCTTCCCCCTGAAATGGAACATATGTATAACGTCTTCCACATTTCTATGTTGAGGGATTACCTCTGAGATCCTTTCTATGTGATTGAGCCTACTCGTGTAGTGCTGAGTGATGACTACACTTACGAGGAACGACCTATTCAAATTGTAAACAGACGGATCAAGAAGTTGAGAAACAAAGAGATTCCGTTAGTGAAAGTTGACTGGCAAAACCATGGTGGCGTCTATGCCACTTGGAAAAGGGAAGATGACATGATAGTGGCAGAACCATGGTGGCGTGTATGCCACTTCGGAGAGGGAAGATGATATGACAAAAAGATATCCTGATTTGTTCCCACTGAATCCTGTTTTCTTCCAGAATGAAGGTAATTCGAGTTTGGAGGACCAAACTCTTTATAAGGAGGGGAGACTGTGACAACCCTCACCACTGATTACTGATTAATCGCTGATTACTGCTAAACTGAGACTAAACATGTTAATTGACTGACTGATTGAAATACTGAACTGACCGATTGAGTGTGCTAGTCTAAATGCATATCTATCTGTTGACTGTTAAATTATCTGTTCATGTTTTATGTTTTAAACTGCAAATTGAAGGCCTTATCGGCGGCCGAATATGAAATTGATTAGTGATGTGTGTTAATCATAATTTATGTGATTTTATGGTGTATTTAATTGAAATGTGATTTGGTATGATTTAATTAGATTAAACAAGGATAAATTGCAATAGTTGGCTTAATTACCAACATCCTAGTGGGCCACTACACTAAACATATTGAGACTTGATTACACTTAGACACACATTTGCTCAGCCATTTGTTTTCCTTGCTACAGCCGACTAGAGAGAGTGATAGGAGAGAGAACTTGACGTCATCTCATATTTGCTTGGAAACTTGGAGAAATTGTAGGAAGATTGCAAGAATATGACTTCCATACCTTAAATTGAAGACTTAGGTAAGGAATTCAACCTCTTAATTGTGTCTTTAAGTTGGTTCTTGCATGGTTCATGTCATATTGAAGAGCTAAGTCATGAATTGGTTCTAGCATGTTGAATTGTAGCTCAAATCATGCATGCATGTTGCCATTCTTGAGTTTTGAAGTTATTGTTCATGAGATTGCTTCATGCATGTTCATCTTTTGATCACAGTTCATGTTTTTACCATGTTTTGGAAGAAATTGGCTCATTTGAGCAAGTAATTGAAGCTTTGATGTAGTTTAAACTCATGCATGTCATGTTTGACTTATGTTCTTGAAAATTGGTTTGAAATCGGATTTAATTGAACTACCTTTGGGCTTTGATTTCTCAAATTGATCTTTGAAACATGTTATATTATGAGTTCTGAAGTGTTTTCCAGAAAATTATCCCAAAAGGATCAAATTTGGTGTTTTAAAACTTGTTTTTGAGCTTGAGGTTCAAATCTGGAAATTCCAGATTTTGGACTCACGCTCGAGTGGAGTGACTGGCGCTCGAGCGTAAAATTCGTGCATCCAGCACTTTACACTGTTTTACAGTCCGCTCGAGCGGAGTATTGGACGCTCGAGTGAGGACTTGTGTCACACGCTCGAACGGGTATCGAGCGCCCAATCGAGCGTGATTTTCACACATCCAGTACTTATGGCATGTTTTACAGTCCGCTCGAGCGTGGTAACTCGCGCTCGAGCAGAGTATTTTGTTTGCCTGTACGCTCGAGCGGGTAAACCCACGCTTGAGTGGGACCCCTATTTTCTGAAAATTCTAAAAATGTTTTTAAAGTGCATCATTGCATCCTCATTTCATTCTAGGCATTCTTAGGCCTAGTTTCAGGCATCTTAATGAGGATATTGATGTAGGACCACACCGAGTCGAGTTAGGGATTAAGTTATTATTTTTCCAACTGTGTAGCTTAGTGTGTGTTCACTCTGTAACTGTGTAGGGTTGGCATCCGGAGACGCGTTCTAGCTTATCTGTAGCCCAGAACTCTGTGAGTAACAATGTTGTAAAGATATGTTCGAAAATGAATATTTTCTGAATGATCAACTGAACTGTTTTCTGAACTGTTTACTGTTAACTGAATGAATGTTTGTCCTCTATTCTGAACTGTATTGTGGCATCTTTAGCAACTGCTACTGCTATTGTTACAGAGATCTCTGTCAGTTCCTACTTTGGAACTTCTGTTTACTGATATGATGGCCATCATTGACTGTTCGATCTTTCAATACCTATTGTTTACTGTACTGTTCTGCTAATGAATGTACCACATATAACTACTATGACTGAATAACTGATACACTGAATCAATTGACTGTTTTCAATACCGAAAGGACATTCATTCTTCACCTCTTTACACATTATGTTATTCACTGGGCTTTAGCTCACTGCTCATAAATATATGTAGGTGTACAGGCACCGGACCATTGCTAGGAGCGTCGGGGTAAACTCCAGTTTTGTCAAGCCAACCTTTGTACCTCACTTTGAGGTTCCAAAACTATTCAAGCCGAGGCTGTCTGGGGTCTTTTAGTTTTTCCCTCATCTTGGTTATGTTCTGTATAGACTGAATGTTTTTGTACTGTACTGTTTTAAATAGGGATTAAGTCCCTGTCCTGAATGGTTGTATATATTGTACATACTATTTTGGTACTACTTGTATATGTATATATACATATGAAAAGTCTTTTTGTATACAGACTGTCACAGCTCATTGGACATATTTTAATTACTGTATTGGCTTCCACCAGCCCCTGTACTCTGTAATTCTATTTGACTGTTAAGCAGGCCTTTGGTAATCTCGGATTACTGGCCGGTTACGGTGCTAAACCTATAGGGGCGGGTTTGGGTCATGACATTCCCCTTAATGTCCTTCACAGTTTCAGCTCTTGCTTGTTTGGTCCACCTCTTTAGAATGTATTGTGGAGGAACCTCTTTCATCTTCAATATGTCTCTAATAACCTTCAATGAGTGACAACAAAAGATTCCTTCCCTTTCAAACTTTGTACAATTACAACCCAATGACCCATCCCTCTCCATCTTCACTTTCCTTGCATGTTGTTACCAACATCAACAACTATGTAAATGGTACTAGCCTCGCTATATTCAATTGCTTCTATGTCCGATTTAATGGATCGAAAGTACTCATTTTGAAATTCTTCAAATATCTTTTTTGTGTAAACATTACGCATTTGAATTAACATTCTTATTGTTGCTTTCACCTTTGACAACCTTTGGCACAAAGTATATCCTGCTTTTAACTCCTTGTATCGCTTCTCGTAAAGTACCCTTTCGAAATGCATGAAGAATTCATTTAAATTAAAATTAGGACGAATGTAATCCTTCAAAAAAGCATTAAAAGATTCACTAAGTTGTGTGGTACTCATTCTTGCAGCCCATGTTGATCTAACATATGGCCAGCCCCATTTTTCTTTCACCGCAAAAGTCAATTTCAACCAATGGTTTTCATGCGGCATTTCCGCCCACTCTAACTTCCATTGATTTGCATCTTTAATGTCAAAGAAGAATTTATTTAGTACACCCTTTACCCCCTTATCTTGGAGAAAACAATTAACATGTTTTAATGCATTTTGCATCAAATGCCAAGTACACAAACGGTGACTTGTGTCAGGCATAAAGATGGGTATGGCTTTAGCTATTGCAGCATCTTGATCAGTGAACAACGTTTTTGGTGCCCTTTCTAACATAGCCTCCAGAAAATTTTGAAACAACCATACAAATGATTCGGCGGTCTCATTATACAACAAGGCTGCACCAAATATAACTGTTTTCCTATGATGGTTAAATCCCACAAAAGACACGAAGGGTCTATGTTCTTTGTTTAACTTGTAAGTAGTATCAAATGTGACAACATCACCAAATTGGGCATAATCCATGATCATTTGTGCATCAGTCCAAAACATATTCGCTATTTGCTCTTCATTATCTAACTGGAAAGCATAAAAGAAGGAAGGATTCTGCAAAGATTTTTCTTTAAAGTATTGCAACACATTGCCTACTTCCCCATATGCTAAACTTTGTTATCTTTTGGTTCTCAAATAATTTTTTTGATCTAATTTTGTAAACCCAAGACATTGCCTCCCACCAGCTTCCCTACCCATGAGTTCAAAAGACTAGCCTAAACGAAGACCAGATTGTGCCGCCAAATCTAACTCAATTGCTTGGGTAGTCGATATCTTTATTTGTGACGGCAACATGTGGGCACACTTGGGTGATACAAGATCATGGTTGTGTTTTTCTTTGAAATCAGTCACAACAGATTTCCCAGTACCCTCATCTAATTTGACATAAAGTCGAGCCTCAGAACCGGCCCTAGTTTCAGCTCTAGGGTTTTTTGACAATGGGTCTCGTTTGTCACCCTTCTGAAATCCCTCCTTGTTGCAAACTAAAAGTCTACAAATAAGTTGGTTAGTGACCTTGTTCTTCCTACAAAAATCCCTTCTTATGCTAAACCCCAGTCTTCCTCCATATGTATTATAAAAATCATACACACATTGTTCAGAATCGAATGTCATTCCCTATTTTGGCTTCCAAGCACAATCATTCTCAGGTTCCATATCCATATGAAAATGCAACTGAAAATGATTATAATGAACATAGTCAGAATAATGTTCAAACTGATTCAAGTAGATGATATATAATAGATTTATAATTTAGAAACATATTTCAAATTTGCCTCAACGGTAGTGAACAACAGATCATTCATTTTTGAATCAGTTGAATGCCTCAAACTGATATTCAACATAATCATAAATTTCAGATCATCCATTTTAAAAAAATATGTCATATCAATAAAATCCTACTTGCTCAATTCTCAATGGAAGTCATGAGGAACAAACAAAAACTTGAAAATGCCCAACAACACTCTTTCTACTCGATTGGCCAGATCTCTTGCATATAATTATGAGATTAATTATCAGATTAACGGTTTAAATTCAGATTTTTTTTCTCCCACTTTGATAGTTTCTTTATATTAATTATATATTATATTTAATTTTTAAAGTAATATCATATGTAAATTAAATAAACAAACAAATAAATAAAAACTTTTTCCAAGTTCATATGAAGCTGAAACATTTAACTATTCCTCTTGGCTTAGGAAGAAAATTAGTGATTCAAACTCAGAAAACTCAGGTTTGCCAGTGATTTGCCAGTAATTCTAGCTATTTGAGAAGCTACAAAATAGCTACAATTACTGATTCAAACTCAGAAAATAGCCATAATTGAAATTTGGCAAACCTCTGATTTACAGAGACAAAGGGGAACTGACCTGTGGTTTCACCGCCGTCGGTCCTTGCAACGGCGTCGAGACTGGGTAGACTGGGTCGCCGCCGGTATTGGGTCGCCGTCTAGGGTGGGTTCGGAAAAGGAGGAATGAGTGTGTGTTGAATGTTTCCCCACAAAAAACTACTTGCAACGCTGTGTTTTGTTTTGGGCAGAAGAATTTGAAATTTGGAATTTTTTTTTTTTTTAATCTCAGCTGTTAGATGTGCAACGGCTTATCTTAGCCGTTGCAAGGACGCTTACAAGTATGGCTTTGCAAGGAGAGGATCTGCACTCGATTGCAACGGCAAAAAAACTCACCACAATTTGACTTGTAAATTACGTAGTGGCTAGAAAGGAAAAGTTTTGTCCTAAAAGAATATTAGAAAATTACAATTTTTTTTTTTTAAAATTTTCGATATTAAAATTTTATAAAATAAAAGGTATATAATATTTTTATAATAGTTAAGTTTTTTTAATATTTTTACAGAGAAAATTTGATTCAGAAAAATTTCATTCGATTCAAAAAAATTTAGTTACGATTTAGAGAAATTTTATAATATATATAAGAGAAAAATTAAATATATAATTAAACCAAGTTTTAGGTCCCATAAAACATGATCAGATAGAAAGATTAAATATACATATTATAAAATTTATGTATAAAATAAATTTGAATTATTTTTTATTTCTAACTAACGATATAATTATAGAAATATTTTCGGAATACTACGTGTTCGTATTCCTAAGTAATTATAATTTATTCGGTCTTTTCATAAATTTCAATCACTTAACATAATACTCTACTTATCTATATTTTTTACTAATCACAATACTATAAAATATTACATCCCTTTCCTCTAAAATTACTAACTGTGTGTTTGGTAACGTTTACGTTTTCAGTTTTTATTTACAAAAAATTTATAAACTGATTTTTGTTTATTTTTAGAAAAACATAAATTACAAACACGTTTGGTAATTGACAAAATGTTTAAAAAAATTTAAAAATATAAAAAAAATGTGAGAAATGGCAAGTGGTGACAAGTGGTGGCGGAAGATGGTGGTGGAAAGTGGTGACGGTGGGTGGTGGGTAGCTGGTGGCGGGTGGGTGGTGGTGGTGAGTGGGTGGGTGACGGTGGCAGGTGGGTGGCCGATGGCGGGTGGTGGTGGCAAATAGGTGGCGGGTGGTGGTTGTGGTGGGTGAGTGGGTGACGGTGGCGGGTGGTAGCGAGTAGGTGGTGGTGGTGGTGGGGTTGGTGGGGAGATCAGATGGGTGGGTTGGGAGGCTACCAGTGTAGAGGAGGCGGCGGAAGATGCCGGAAAAACACTTGGAAGTGGAATTTTGTGACTCGGTCATGTTTGAGAGAGACAGAGAGAGAGAGAGAGGAAACTGTGTAGAAAAACAAAAACAGTTGTGTTTGAGAGAGAGGGAGAAGGAAGGGGAAGGAAAAAGAAAAAAGAAGAAGAAAAAAAAAAGGATCATTCGAGTTCCGTTTTTTCAAACTACGTAGTGGGACTCTAAAACTAGCATGAGAGAATCCTATCAAAGTAAATGTTACACACACACACACACACACAAAAAGACCTAAATATACTAAATCCAATCTGTCTTTTGGACCATTTCTAATAGAAGTACCATTTGAGAGTCCTAATCAAGCAAGTGGTTGGTGAAAAATTTTAAGGGCATCAAATCCAATCACGTGGACCATTTCTAATAAAACTAACCATGTGAGAGTCCTAATTGAGTAAATGGTTGGTGAAAAATTCTAAATATTCCAAATTCAATCATAAAATTGAACATAAAAAATGTGTTTGATCTTGTGATTGAATTTGATATATTTCTAATAGTTGCCACACACACAAATTATTATATTACTCTCTATGTCTACAGACTTGTTTGGGATGACTTTTTGGCTTTTTACGAAAAGATGTGCAAAAAGTAGAGAGAAAAGAGAATCTTTGACTTTTTGGTATGGGTTGTTGGCCTTTTGGCTAATTTAGTAACTTTTTGGCTAATTGGCTAAAATAGCCTCTTGCCAAAAAAAAACTCAAAACTTAAAACGGAAACACATTTTTTGGCCAAATTTATAAACTGAGACCACTGATTTATAAATCAAAAATTTTACCAAACAAGTTTTTATTTAAATTTTTATAAATATAAATAAAAATAAAAAACGTAAGTGTTACCAAACGACACCTAAATAATTAGCTTTTATGGTGGGTGTCCCACACACCCACAACAACCATACGCAGCTCTTTATATCTCACATCTTCCACAACCCAATCCACCCAGTATTTTCATATACCCTTTTCTTGTCTTCAGCAAATCCATCTTTCTTTTTATTTGCTTAGCAGACAAACATGACTTCAATGAGATATATGATATTGTCTGTATCAATCCTAGTTCTCCTCTTAGCATCCCACTTTCATCCAACTTCAGCCCATCCACATGAACATGAAGATCAAAGAGTGTTGACATCAGTTGGTAGAAGAATTCTGAGCCTACCCACTGAATTTGATACTGATAATAGTAGCAAAATTCGAGTTCAAATCAAGAAAAGAATGCGATTTGTGCCCAGTTCTGGAGCCGGAACCGGCGCCGGTTCCATCCGACCCAAAACAAGATCTTCAGCAGCACCAACAACTACTAATAGACATGTTTCTTCTTCACTCCATGTGTGCTCCCTTCTTCTTGGTTTCTTCTTTATCTTGTAAGTGTGCGTTTGGGAATTCACCTTTTCAGAAATTTTAATTTTTTTTTGGTCCTAAGTGAATTTTTAAAAAAAAAAAAAATCAAAGAATATTACATTTTTAAATTCAAATTAAATACCTTTTAATTCCTATTTAATTTGTATAATTTGATCCTTACCCTTTTAAGTCTAGTTTTAATTTAATTATTTTGTCTAAATTTTGGTTAATTTTATTTACATGTACGCTAGTAATTTTAACCTTTAATTTGGATAAAAGAACTAAATTGATGTTACTTTTAAAATATAGAGATCAAATTATTCAATTTGAAATTATAGGAATTAAAATAAAAAGTAAAAAAAAAAAATGCTAGGTACCTAAAAAACATAACTAGAAAAATGATCAGAAAGAGCGATGAATGATTAAGATTCATCTCATGTGTAGCTCTCATTATAGAATAATTATATCTAAACCATTGCAATTTTCTGGTTAACTTTGTGGGTCATTTTTGTGGGTTTGTTGGCTTTCTTACATATTAATTAAAAATGTGATTTTTGTTTGTTTGTTTGTTGGTCCCAAATTCAGGCCTCGTTTGGGAACCGTCATTTTTAGTTAAAAAGTTATTAAATTAATCAAAAAGTCAACAATCCATACCAAAAAGTCAAAAATTCTCTTTTCTCTCTACTTTTTGCACATCTTTTCGTAAAAAGTCAAAAAGTCATTCCAAATTTACTAATTTTTTTTTGCTTATATTTTAATCAAATAGTCAAAAAGTTACTAAATTAGCATGTTCCCAAACGAGGCCTCATTAGAAGTAAAGTATTGTTTATTTCCCATGGCTGCCGGTGATATCCATGTTGTTGTAATTCTAGATGCTCTATCTGTAGAAATGAGTAAGTCATTCATTCTACTATTATTGTTTTGATGTATGCAATGCATGAAAGATTATTAAGACAAATAAAAGTGTTGTTTGATTGTTTGATTCCACATGTTTGGAAGAAATTTTTGAGACACACAAAACCTTCTTATAATTTAATTAATATCTACATTGAGATAGTATGATAATTGTCAACTTTTTATTAGTTATTCTATAAGGCCTATCTTCTTTGTCACATTATTATGGATAAATTTGTGAATCTAAAATATGAATCTCTAACATTACTCATGTCACATCTTTCACATCAAATTAACCTATTTTTCTTAGAGAAACATCTATTCAATCGTTTTTTCTCCTCATGAGACAGTATGGCAGTTATTCATGATGTTCGGTGCTTTACCATAATTGGCCTTTGAAGTTCAGGGGCCCTTTTTTTTTTTTAATCAAGTAAAGGCCAAGCGGCTTACAAAGAATCTAGAGATAATATAGTTCTAAGCTCTTGGGATGGATGGACAATCCACTCAAGAGGAAACATACCCTTTAGATTGCAAGACGCTAACCAATGGGCAGTGCCATTCGCATTTCTTGGCAACCAACTAAATGATATGTTCCCCCTAGATTTCGCAGATCGAATATCATGAATGATGGCCTGGCAATCCCATGGAGGTAGCAATTCAGATACACTCAAATCGATGACAGACTTATTATCAATTTCCATATGAACTTGCCTTAGATTGAGGGTTTGAGAAAAGGCACATGCCAGGTCAACCGCTTGGGCTTCACCTTGCAGGGTTGATGCAACATGAACAGTAGAGGTTTTTCCATCCACCCACTTTCCTTCCCAGTTTCTGATTCTGAGTATGATTGCCAAGGATTCCTTAGACCCATCTCTTGAAAAACTTGCATCACAGTTAAGCTTAAACTGGACCCGAGTTGGAGGACTCCATTTGCAAATAGGAGAATTTGTTGCCACGTTACTTGGCTGTCAAACACAAGGGTGATTTTGAACAACAACTTCTCTCCAATAGGACTTCGCTTGTTGCAGAGTTAGCGTGGGATTTCAAAATTAAAAAATATATATATATAAATTATAAGCAACTCTATAAATTGTATCAAACAGCACCAATGACTGGTAATTTTTTTGGTACAATTCATTCTAGGTTTATTTCAATCTTTCAGATCTATATTGCCTACAAGAAATTTATATTGGCTATGTGAATGGGAGGTCACAATTTATTTCTTCCACAAACTAGATTTGGGTAGTGATGATAATGAGGAATTGGTTTTGAGAGCTGTAGCTTCAATGGGTAGGTTAAATTTTATTTCATTGATTTATTTGTTTATAACCAAGCTAACATGTTTCACATTAATAGTACTTTTGATTTATATTGCTAATTTTCATAAAAGGTTTATTTATTTGATTATTAGAATTTTATGATTCATTATTTGATTTTATGATCACTTTTTCCACTTTTATTTTCAAGTACTTGTTGTACGGAGGATTACAGTTTTTATATTTGATGTTCTAACCCTGTTGAATTGTCTTTATTTGATAAATTTTTGATAGTTGAAGGTTAAGGAAGCATTTGGATATTGGGTAGGCTTGGGCGGGTTTGGACTGGGCTCATATTATATACAAAATCATTTTCCAAGCCTAGCTTGGTCTGGGATAGGGCCAATTTTTTTTATTTTTATTTTTGAGCTCATCCAAAAATAAAATAAAAAATCTTAAACTTGTTCACGTAGCTCGGATATTATTTAATATAAATATATTTTTTCATATTTTAAAATAAAAAATTATAATTAATTTGACAATATGAGTGTCGTTCAAGGTTAGTAGTTTAAATTTTGTAACTAATTCGTTTCATAATACTACATAATTTATGCTAATAAAAAATGAAGTTAAAAGTGAACACATACATATAATATATTATATAATATAGTTTGTGGATGAGCTTGCCAGGCTACGCTTAAATATATATATATATATATATTTTCCAAATCTGGCCCATATTATGGGGGTGTTTGGAAAGGAAAAAAATAGCCTAGTTTAGGTTAAAATTCACAAAAAGATAAAATAGACTAAAATAACTAATAAGACAAAATATCACATCAAACTCATTATCATTTCATTTTTTCTCTCACAAACATCACACCCAACCATAAAAAAATCTAATCATCTTCCCAAACACAAAAATTTTAACCTACAAAAATAGCTAAAAACTAAAATAGCCTACTAAAATAACAACTTTCCAAACGAAGCCTATAATTGTGCTTAACATTTTTTTTAGTAATGAGATATGGCCTAATTTTACCTTCTCAATTATATCCACAATGACGTAGCTAAAATCCATATAAAGCAGTTCCATACTCCTCTACTGTCCTTTTTAACTCCTTTTAATTTCACACCATTAAAGATGAAATTGTGTTCCTAACCTTACTCGTATGTTCGGTTTCAATTTTTTGTATTTAATTTTTAAAAAATTGAGTTTTTTAACTTTTAGTGTTTTTTTGTTTTTGTTTTTGTTTTTAATTTTCTTTTTACATTTTTAAATAGTAAAATATTTGTAAAAAAATAGGGCAAATTATATATACCTCTCTCGAGATTTAGCTAAATTACAGATACCCCTGAGGTTTCAGAAATTACAAATACCTCCCTGAAGTTTATATTTTCATAACAAATTATCCTCTGAGTTTTATATTTTCATAACAATTTGCCTCCTAATTTGTTATGCAAATAGTAACTTCAGGGTGTATCTGTAATTTCTCAAACCTCAGGGAGTATCTATAATTTTGCTAAATCTCGAGGGGGTATATGTAATTTGTCCTAAAAAATATTTTAAAAAATCAATAAATATACAAAAATATCCAAAAAAAACGTATTTAGTGAATTTTTAACGATTTTTTTTAACAAATATTATATTTTTTAAGTGTGTATTTATATTAAATGTGTTTAAAAATTAAAAAATTTGTTTAAAATATTAAAAAAAAATTAGTGAAAACAAAAAAAATATAAAAAATAAAAAAGTTAAATTTTTTGAAAAATAAATTCTAAAAACTGAAACCAAATAGGGTGACCATTATTGCATTACTGAATGTAGCTGATAAGTGGCATCAATTATGTAAATTATACTGCCAGGGACAATAGAGTGACTATTATTGCATTAGAAAAATGCTTGAGAGTTCTAATTGGAGTCACCATTTCACCCACTATCACAGTATATGTTGTTTTTTTTTATTTTTTTATTTTTCACCACACTAGTGGTGGATTTAGAACTCCCTATTTAGAGTTCTAAACCATTGTTGATTGCATTATTGAATGATAAGTGGCATCAATAATGTAAATTATACTGACAGGGACTGATGAGGTGCAGAAGGAAAAATGGTTTTGTTCAAATAAAATAATTTTTTATTTAGCTAAATTAGGTTATGAGTGTTTTTTCTCTGCCTAAAATTATGGACTTTACTATTTGAATTAATAGAAAGTTGTGTTTTATTTATGAACTTTTAAAATATGCCAAAAAAATCAAATTTTATTATTAATTATTTATCTATCACTGCTGGAAATTGGACTTTTAGTGGCGTTTAAAAAACGCCGCTATATCTATCAAAAACGCCGCTAATTCCTTGGCGCGTGTGGCTACCGCATTCGGAGGCGTTTTTAAACGCCTCCCATTCTAAAACGGTGTCGTTTTGTGTAATAGAATACGTGGCGTTTTATAAAACGCCGTTAAATAATAAAAACAGTGACGTTCACAGAACCGTCGTTAAAAAAACGCCACCAAATCCACTTTTTCCTGTAGTGTATTATTTATTTTTATGTTTTGCTATTTAACGGATGTATGATAGGGTTTAAGAACGTTATTGGAAAATTTGAAGATCTTCGAAGATCTTTGAAAAAAGCTTGAATTCTCTAGAAATGATAAGAGACTTGGGCTTGTTTGGTTTGGTTTTGGGAAAGTTGTTTTTAAAAAAAAAATTGGGGAGAGAGTTTAGAAATTTTTTTGGTTTGTTTGGTTATATATTTTGGGAAAGTTATTTTTTTGGGAGTTTGGGATGATTTGATATTTTGGAAGAATTTGAGTAGATGTGTATGAGAAAAAAAGTGACTGAGAAGGACAGAGGAGAGATAAAAAGTGATTGATTGATGTGTAAGAGAGAGAAAGTGATTTTGAAATTTTTTTGAAAAAAACTAAAACCAAACAATTTTTTAGAAATTTTTTTCTAAAACTCATCTCCCAAATGCAAACCAAACATACCCTTAGATTCTTCAATAGTCACAACTAAAAACACAAAAGCAAAGAGATGATGGAGATAAGAGATTGAGTGAAGAAGAAGGCAAAGTAGTTAGAGAGAGAATAATGACAAGGTTCTCCCATGGATCTCCTACTTTCACTCTCAAGGTTGATAATGGAGAAGGGAAATTAGTTCTTTCCCAAGAGTTATCTCTCCAAAATCCATCCCCTATAAAGCTATGGGTGTGTGCTATTTATAGACATTTCATGATGTAGGATAGAGCCCATGTGCAAGGCACATGGGGAATATTCTCTCTAACTACCTTGTCCGAGGAGGTGACTTCTCCGAGGATGAGGAAAACCCTCGAAGAGGAGATCACCCTCTCGGTGAACCCTTCTTCTTAACCATACCTAACCAATGATCCCTAATCATCCCAAAAGGTCAGGGGTAGTCGCAGAGGACGCCCTGCCGCAAAAGGGTCAGGGGTAGTTCAAGAGAATGTCCTGCTGCAAATATTGTCGAGTCTCAAGGACCCCTTAGATCGTGTCATATCGACCCGGGTATAGGCTAGTTTAACCGAAGAGTGAATTTATCTTCACTCATCGTTCTCAGGATCGGGTCTGTTGTTCGAACTCCATTACGCCCACGGTTCTGGTGCGTAGATCTCGAAAAGCTTTGTCATGACCTAAACTCGCCCCCATGGGTTAAGGACATAACCGGCCGGTAATCCTAAATTACCTACGGCCTCAAACCAAATCAGACATAACTCATCAGAGTAAAGGGGCTAAACGGAAGCAGAATTTAAAACTTTGTCCATAGAGTTGTGCTTACATGGCATGTCATAACAAACCATACATAAAGATATTAATAACTCACATCAGACAATACAATAGCATAAAGTTCTGTACAGATAGAATCATTCAAGTCTAGGTCAGTCAATCAAAACTATACACAAACGTATCCAAAGTCCTTGCCAACATGACAAAATGACACCCTTCTTCTTAACCATACCTAACCAATGATCCCTAATCATCCCAAAAGGTCAGGGGTAGTCGCAGAGGACGCCCTGCCGCAAAAGGGTCAGGGGTAGTTCAAGAGAATGTCCTGCTGCAAATATTGTCGAGTCTCAAGGACCCCTTAGATCGTGTCATATCGACCCGGGTATAGGCTAGTTTAACCGAAGAGTGAATTTATCTTCACTCATCGTTCTCGGGATCGGGTCCGTTGTTCGAACTCCATTACGCCCATGGTTCTGGTGCGTAGATCTCGAAAAGCTTTGTCATGACCTGAACCCGCCCCCATGTGTTAAGGACATAACCGGCCGGTAATCCTAAATTACCTACGGCCTCAAACCAAATCAGACATAACTCATCAGAGTAAACGGAAGAAGAATTTAAAACTTTGTCCATAGAGTTGTGCTTACATGGCACGTCATAACAAACCATACATAAAGATATTAATAACTCATATCAGACAATACAATAGCATAAAGTTCTGTACAGATAGAATCATTCAAGTCTAGGTCAGTCAATCAAGACTATACACAAACGTATCCAAAGTCCTTGCCAACATGACAAAATGACATAAGATAGAAAAAGAGCGAAGACAGGTCTCGTGCGTGAGACGCAAGGGCTGACTCCTTAAAACCTTGGTTGTTCCACACAGACTTCACTGAGGCTGGGTTTGGACCGCTCTTGGCTCACCTACATACACATGAATAAGCGTGAGTGAAAGCTCAGTGAACAATATCGAATAAAGAAGATGCATTAGAACAACATACGACAAACGGCCTTGGGCCCAATTCATATTCTATCTAATATATATATAGGTATACATAGGGCAGGTGACTGTAGTTCCAAACATATCAAACGGCCTCGGGCCCAATCCATTCATGTCAAACTGGCCTTTGGCCCATTCATACTTTCATTAGTGTTCATTAGTGTCAAACTAGCCCTTGGCCCATTCATTTTATCTTTCATGTCAAATTGGCCTCTAGCCCATTCATTCATATCCAACGGCCTGTGGCCCATTCATTCAAATCAAACCATTATTCATGTCAGACTATCATTCATGTCAGACTAGCCTTTGGCCCATTCATTCTCTCATTCATGTCAGACTGGCCTTTGGCCCATTCATTCTCTCATTCATATCAGACTGGCCGTTGGCCTATTCATTCTCTCATTTATATCAGACTGGCCTTTGGCCCATTCATTCTCTCATTCGTGTCAAACTGGCATTTGGCCCATTCATTCATGTCATACGGCCTCTGGCCCATTCATTTATGTCATACATGTCAAATTGGCCTTTGGCCCATTCACTTTATCATTCATGTCAGACTGGCCTTTGGCCCATTCATTCTCTTATTCATGTCAGACTGGCCTTTGGCCCATTCATTCTCTCATTCATGTCAGACTGGCCTTTGGCCCATTCATTCTCTCATTCGTGTCAAACTGGCTTTTGGCCCATTCATTCATGTCATACGGCCTCTGGCCCATTTGCTCTTTAGGCATAGCAAACGTTTGTCCAAAATTCAAATTAACAAACTCATAGGAAGCTAAGTGATTGGACAAATAGCATATTCCAGATATCTTTATTAAGGTACTACTCACAGTGATCGGTTGGTTGATCTGCCTTGGGGCTTAACCCTACACATCACATAACACAAATGGGTCACAAATGATTCAATCCATTCTTAATTCACATATTCCTCTTTAGGCTTTATTCTTATCCCTTTTAACTCATTTACAATGCTTAATGCATGCCT